CTGAAATAACTACCCTACGTCTACACAAAGCCGCATATTATTTTGAAATATTTTTTTAAATAACGGGCATGCTATTTCGGCATCCCGGTAACTTTCATTTGATGAGGATTAAGGGATGTCTCAAAAATATCATGTTATTTCAAAATCTGGTGCTGTGTAGACGCACCAAATTTCAAAATAAGCTATTTCAAAATAGATTTGAAATAAGATATGCAATTTGCCTAGCACAAATTGCGTATCTTATTTCGAGTTAAGGGTGCCGTGTAGACACACTCTAAGGAACTACAGGACTACTTGTTATTTTCATTGGTGTAGGGTAAAATGTTTAAAAGCGAGTTAGGTTATGGCTTCAGTGCACAATTAGCCCTGATGATTGGCACCTGACTGTGAACACCTGAATTAACTTAGCTTGGTACAAGTGACGCTGCAGCAAATTCTTGCATGAATTACTGTGTTCTCATTGTTCCTGAGAGAGCTTGTATGTACAGAGCATATCCTATAGTCCTTTGTGTTGAGATGCTATAAGATTCTTTCTGAGTCAATTGTGGGAGATCTTGGTGGGAACTGTGGGAAGACAGTGGAGGATTGTCAGGACTCAAGTGATGATGCCTGCATTCTCACTTCAAAATGAACCTTGGTTCTGTTTTAACCTGTAGCTTCAGCTAGATAAGCTAATCCAGGTTTACAGTACCTCCAGACCTGTGCCAGAGGTTTTTCTAAGACGTTTTAAGCTAAAATGCAGGTAAGAGCCCAGATACCTTTAGTTGCTTAAGGTATGTCTGCACTGCAATTAAACACCTGTGGCTGGCCCATTCTGGCTGATTCGGAGGTTGGGGTAAGGGTCTGTTTACGTGTGGTATGTGGGTTAAAGCCTGGCCTATGGGACACCAAAGGGACAGGTCCAAGAGTTGAGACTCCTGTGTGAGCCCAAACATCTACCACACAATTAAATAACCTTTACCCTGAACCCTGCGAGCTCAAGTCAGCTGCATGTATATAACTGCACTGTAAACATATCTTTAGGGGCCACACAAGTTTCACTGGCAGTCAATGAAACAGTCTCCTAAGTGCCTTGGTTTCTTCGGAAAAAGGGACTTTGGCTCCTAAGTCAATTAAGCACTTCTGAAAATTTTACCCCATAGTTCTCTGTTACAAAATCAGTTAAAACTTTATTCATTTGAAATGCAATTTGATAGAAAATATTCTGGTATTATTTAGAGTAATTGAATTTAATTTTATTTAATCAAGTCAGGAGATGAAGAAATTGAGTTGTAATGTGATACCAAAGTTGAACAAAGTGTCAAAAGATAAATCATGTTATCCTACTTTTAAACTACAGTAATATATGTAGTCATTGGAAAGGCAGCTCCAGGAATCCCAAACTAGGGCGTGAAGGAAGGGGAATGGTTTTTTTGACCACCAATGTTGTCCTTTCCCTTTTTTGTTGTTGTTTGTTGTTTCTGAGTGTCTGCCCACTCTTCTCTCAGTACCTGTACATCTTAGACTAATAAGAAGCTGGTGAAAATATTCTTGAGGGGACTGGGCTGAATCTACCCTTCACTCACCCTGCTCCAGCCTGTTGATTTTTAGATTGTCCCAGATTTTGAGGAGTCCACCTCAGCATCACTTGATGCACATGTTGTGCTGGAAGGCAGGGCCCTCCATCTGTGATGCCCTAGTCTTCCGTCTTCCTGGGCCTGAGGTTCTGTCCGATATGGTGCTCCAGGATCTCTCCCTTTGCCATGGGACTTTTCCCCTCCCATCACCTTAGGATTCTCCCTACCCCCAGGACTTTTGCTTGATCCCAGGAAACCTTCTTGGGAATTGCCACTCAGAGCCAGGACCCAACATTCCTCTCCAAATGTCCAAATCTTGCTTCACCTGCTGGAAAATGGAATCCAGCATGGAGGCAGGGCCTTTCCTTCTGTGTCACACCTCCCACTCCCATCCAGGCTCTGGTACAATGCACTGCAGTTTTCAGATACCTAAAAGGAGGAGGGAGAAAAATTGTTCTTCTTGACCTCTGATGATAGGACAAGAAGCAATGGGCTTAAACTGCAGCAAGGAAGGTTAGGTTGGACATTAGGACAGTGACAAGAAGTTTAACACAGAAATAAATTGCCTAGGAAGATTGTGGAAACTCCATCTTTGGAGATATTTAAGAGCAGGTTAGATAAACATCTAGCAGAGATTATCTAGGTGGTGCTTGGTCCTGCCATGAGGGCAGGGACTTAATGACCTCTCAGGGTCCCTTCCACTTCTAGTATTCTATGATTCTGTGATTCTATGATAATAACACCTTAATATGGGACAGTTCCTCAGATTTGTCACTTAAAAGAATGGCTCAGATTTGGGAATCTTATGACCTCAGCCATGAAGATCAATGCAAAGAATTCATTTAGTTTCTCCACAGTGCTCCTTTAGCATCTTGATCATCCAGCGGCCCCTCTGTTTGTTTAGCAGGCTTTTTGATTCTGGTGTACTTAAAAAGTAATACCACATGTTTTTTTGAGTTTTTGGCCACCTGTTCTTCAGATTCCTTTTTGGCCTCCCTAATTATATTTTTATGCTTCATTTGACAGAATTTATGCTCCTTTCTATTTTGCTCAATATGATTTAACTTCCACTTTTTAAACAATGCCTTTTATCTCTTACTGCTTCTTTTACTTGGTTTGTAAGCAACGGTGGTACTTTCTAATTTCCTGACCGTGTTTTATAATTTAGATTGGCACCCCTTTCTCCGGCTCGGGGTTTTGCCGGAGAAAAGCGCCAGTCTAGACAGGTTCTTGTGGAAAATAAGCCCTTTTCCGGAAGATCCCTTATTCCTACTTGATATTTAAATCCCCCGCGGCATTTGCAATTCCCACTGGTCTCATTAGCATCCCTTTTCCGGAAAGGGGTGCCAATGTAGACACAGCCCCAGTGTTTGGGTTGAACCTCTGCTATGGTGTCAGATGAGACTGATACACTTTAGTGTCATCACTATAGTGATAACTCTGCAGCCCATACCTCCTCATATACCCCCTCAACAGAGGGACAAGTTGAAACACTGTGGAAATCCAGGTGATAGTTTCCTTAAAGATGAAGAGCAATTGCACAGGAGCACTTTCTGGGAAAACTCTTCCAGGAAGAAACAGTGCCGCTCCAGAGCAGTTGTGTTCACACTTGGTACACTCATGTGGGTTGTCAGAACATTGTGATCAGTGCTATATGTTCAGCTGATAAATCTTGGGGAGCCATTGGCCTACGGGCTGCACATGCTTCATCAGGGTTAGCTGCTGGCAGGCCAGCAGATGGTTTGTTTGCTTGTTGGATGTCTGCAGCTTCAAGTGGCCACGGTTTGCTGTTTCCAGCCACTTAGAACTGGGGCGGAACAGTGTGGGCCAGAAATGGTGAACAGAGCCACTGCAGACACTTACGTAAACAGTCTGGCAACCTGCCAGCAGCTAACCCTGATGAACTGTATGTGTCTCATGGACTGGAGGTTCCCCACTCTGGGTGTAAGGCATCTAAATGCTCTTGACTTATCTCACTACAGTTTTTCTACAGTCTTAAACAAAAATAGAAGATTAGGTAATGGATGATTGTTGGCCAGATGATCTACATCAAGTGATGATTTCCCGAACAAAGGTCATGCAGCAACTGCTTTAAGAAAAGATGACACCCTATTCTTCCTTCGGGAGGAATTGATAAACTTGACTAGTAATGGGACAAGTTATTTCTTTAGTAGCTTTCAGGTACCAGGGATAGCACTGGTTGCAAAGGGAGGTGCAGAATGGAAGATTTGTGGCAATGTCCCATTGAACATCACCGATCACAATTCAAGCAGACAGGATTTACCATTAGTCTATTTCTGCATGGAGGAAACAACTAGCTTGACTTATAGCTACTTTTTTATTTCTAAAGTATTTTGAAATTTTCTCACAATGGGTGAATAGGGAGCCATTGGCCTACGGGCTGCACATGCTTCATCAGGGTTAGCTGCTGGCAGGCCAGCAGATGGTTTGTTTGCTTGTTGGATGTCTGCAGCTTCAAGTGGCCACGGTTTGCTGTTTCCAGCCACTTAGAACTGGGGCGGAACAGTGTGGGCCAGAAATGGTGAACAGAGCCACTGCAGACACTTACGTAAACAGTCTGGCAACCTGCCAGCAGCTAACCCTGATGAACTGTATGTGTCTCATGGACTGGAGGTTCCCCACTCTGGGTGTAAGGCATCTAAATGCTCTTGACTTATCTCACTACAGTTTTTCTACAGTCTTAAACAAAAATAGAAGATTAGGTAATGGATGATTGTTGGCCAGATGATCTACATCAAGTGATGATTTCCCGAACAAAGGTCATGCAGCAACTGCTTTAAGAAAAGATGACATCCTATTCTTCCTTCGGGAGGAATTGATAAACTTGACTAGTAATGGGACAAGTTATTTCTTTAGTAGCTTTCAGGTACTAGGGATGGCACTGGTTGCAAAGGGAGGTGCAGAATGGAAAATTTGTGGCAATGTCCCATTGAACATCACCGATCACAATTCAAGCAGACAGGACTTACCATTAGTCTCTTTCTGCATGGAAGAAACAACTAGCTTGACTTATAGCCACTTCTTTATTTATAAAGTATTTTGAAATTTCCTCACAATGGGTGAATTAAAACTAGCAACCAAACAAAAGGTGATTTGGATTAACCAAGCATCACTACTTTTCAAAATAAATGTATTGACTGAGACAGATTGAGGACAGATTTTTTTCTGATTACATATGTTCCATAGTCATTGTAACTACCATTTTAAAAAAAACACTTTGGAAAAAGTAAATGATCAGCTCTCTCCATTCTGTTGCATGACAAGCCTGCAGCTTGAAGACCAAATCTTGAACATGAAAGGCTTGCATGGTCAGCATTCAGATGTGTCTTAATTCATTAGTAGGTCATGCAGTCAAATGTAAACCCGTGGGTACTTGCTGAAGATATTTTCCATACTTGCAGCTATTTGTTTGTGTTATTACAGGTGGAATCAAATGTGCTGACCATCTCCAGATGAAGAGCTTTTCATTATCTTGGGAAAACAAAGTCTCCATTGCACCTTCAATTCCCTGTGGATAGCTGAGGATTGCTGTCATTTTGAAAGCAGTGTTCCAGTTGGAGGTGTGTGTGGGTGTTGAACTATATGCTATAATAGGTTAATGTTCTAGTTTGAGAATCTTTTCTTATCTGCTCCCTCAAATATTTTGGTTTATGTACATTCTGTTATTATTCTGGGCCAAGTCTGCCAAATTTTGTGGTTACACGTAAGAGCAAATCTACAGGACTTCCTGTTAATGTTTGATGGAAATTATTTGGCACTAAAGTAAATAAGAGTATATCCTTTTATTTAGCTGACTTGCCATGCATGATATATTTATATGTATGCTTCTCTTTATTTTAATGGTCCTGGCTTGGCCACCTGTGACTTCTTATCTATTCAGGTTTTCTTCCCCCAACTCTCCTATATGCAGTCTGTGGAAGAGATTTCAGCATTCATGGGAATATGAAACTGCCTAGGAAAATTAGGGTCTTTCCAGTTTAGAGAACTTGGAGACTGTCCTTCATACATTTTAGTCTCCTCTTAGGAATATTTTATCTTTAGACAAGGAAAGGTTATTTGTTTATTTTGTTCCTCAAAACTTATATTTTGACAAGAATCATAATTGCTCTCATGCCTTCTCATAGTTCATAAATCAATATTTTCCAGTGACTTACTTTATGCTCAGTCTCATACACACACACACACACTCTTTATAACCCAAATGTAATCCACATAAATGCACACAGACACCATATCTATTTTGTTAGTTTCTTTATTTGTTTATTATATTAATTATGCTCAGGGGATAGAAAGCTCTTTACCTCTTAGGCTATGTCAACACTATAGAGTTTTTCTGGCATACTGGAGGTAGGGACAGCATATGGAGACCCCCTGCTCTGACTTTCTCAGGGGCTGCAGAGACATGCCAGCCATGTCCAGAAGCACAATTACCATAGGGATAATTATTCCAGATGAGACAGGTTCAGCATTTTAGAAGGTATCCTGGAAAAAATCTGCCGCATCCAGGGAACGCATCTGCTCTTTTAAAAAAAAAATTTTCGGAAAAGCAGACACTTTTTCGGCATCCCTGTAAACCTCATTTTACGAGGAAGAAGGGATATTCCGAAAGCTTTTTTTTCCCAACATTTGGCCCAGTGTAAACGAGCCAAATGTCGGAAAAGCATCTTCCGAAAAAAGAAGTGTCAAAAGCTACGCAAATTGCGGTTCTCAATTTGCATAGCTTTTTCTGGAAGAACAGTGTAGTGTACATATAGCTTCACTCCTAAAGGAGCTAAGCTCAGGAGGAACAATTCTAACCTCTTGTCCATAGATAGCTACATCTTTATATTTGGATTTCCAATGACAAAACATAAGGTTGTGCCACATTCAAGATGGCATTTTTCATTCAGTTAAGTAAATTAAAATGAATTATTTTGTTGCTGTGACTGCCTAATAGTATTTTTCTGCATTTGCTTTTTCTAACTGGGATTATTGTGCAAGGATTTCTCTCAATTGTTCTTTTCTTTGAATGTGTATGATGATAACTTGGTATTATGTTCAATTTTATTGTTATTGTAATCTAAATTAAATGTCGAGGCCACCATCAGTCTCAGACTGACAGAACATGGACTTTATCATAATCTATTTCCTATTCAAGTACAAATTTTAATATCTAAATAATAATATAAATACTGGCTTGAAATCTAGGTAGGATCATACACAATTCTACCAGTCTGGTCCTCCATGAGTGCTCTCTTTTGCTGTGGAATGCTCATGGTGCCTCTAAGCACAGATTTGTTCCTTGTTCTTCTTCAAGTGAGGAGCCAAATATAATCTTAAAAAATAGCCCGAGGGGCTAGACAATATCTCCTATATCTGCATGAAGTTGTGGACTGTGCTATTTTGTATACATGCCTGGTCAAGAGTCCATAGTTAGGCTTGCAGCAGAGATTTCAGTTTAACAGGAAAGATTTGGGGATTTCTGATGAATGTTTGGGAATGGGAATAAAACATAAATAACGTAATTTGGAAGGGGTTTAATTTTCCATATATATATAATATGTAGGTCTGGTTTGATTAATTCTGTTATTTATTTAGTACAGTGAGAACAGTATTTCTACCAAGAACAGTATCTCCTGTAAAGCGGGAGGCCTGGCATTTAAAAGCTTTGTTCAAATATGTTTATATACTGCTATTATTTTGTGGTGTTGGTGGTACTTAAGTTTAATTTTTGAGGCAACCATGGACAAAGATAGGGCACTCTTTCTTTCCTCCTCATTTGGTACTTGCGTAGAGTGACCTACCAGATTGTAAGATGTATATCGTCAGAATGAGCAACATTTTAATCACTGGAGCACTGTGTGAAGTGAAGCAAATGACAAAATGAAATCACACAAATGGTAGCTGCTGCTGTTATAGTCTGGTAAATCGAGTATCCATGATTTCAATGGCAGCCTCATGATTTCAATGGCAACTTTGCCCAAACTCAGAACTAACTAAGCACTCAAAAGGGCCAAAGTACTGTAGGAACTTCCTTCTATCATATGCTAAGTACACAAGACCCAAAAGTAGTGGTCCAGTGAAATGATAAGTTCAGAGAAGCAAAATTAGAGAGAAATAACTTTCCCATAAAAGGGCATTTTCAGAAAACTTTTAAAAAGAAATGTGAGAATTTTTTTTTAATTCTCAGACATTTCTATTAAACTTTTAAAAAGAAATGTGAGAATTTTTTAAATCTCAGACATTTCTATACACGTTTATGAAGTAAACTAAAGTTCTGCATTATTAAATTATTATTAAGCTTTATTAAATCATTTGCCTTGTCCTTGCTGAGCATATTCAGGCATTTTCAATCACCATGCCATTTAGACCTGACATGACCTGACTTGAGTTAGATGATATAGTGAAAAACATGTCTGTGATCAATCTACCGTGTAACTCCCGTTACTGCTGATATGGGAGGATCAGCATCAGTGCTGGAGCAATAGTGGAAGAATTTTGGACAATACTCAATTCATAAGTAGCCACTGTACTACGTACCTCCTGTACCTTAGTTGTGTACACACCATAATTCTCATAAGCCTCAGCTATGGTAATAATTAACTTAAAGTTTGATTGTAAGTTTGGCTTTCTCTGCTCTTTTCAGTTTAGTGAGAACCTGTGTTGTTCTTACAAAAAAGACCAGCAATAGCACTGACTGGGTTGAATAAAGTCAGGATTTTTTTGATGTATTGGAAGAAATAGATTTGCCATATAATTTTTCTCCAACACTTTTAATACAGAAGTCGCTGCAAATTTCCCCTTGTTACTGCTTGTCAGCCGACGGTCAGGGCAGTGTGTGTGTGTGTATGTTTCCGAGAAAAGGTTTAACGTCCGTGTCTTTACTGCTAGGACCGGGGTCTCGTCGCAGAGGGTGGCCAGCAGGCCAACAGATGCCCCGTTATATAGGAAGAGCTTATTACACCTTAGATTTTAGCTGCTAGAACACAGTGGTTCCTTCGCAGTGTTCAGCCTAGGAAAGGCTGAAAAGGTGCCCCAACGGATCTTGTCACCTGGGAGTGACACAGATCCAAACGCCCAAGCTCTCCCTATGTCTGTCCCTTTATGACCGGCTGAAGTTCTTTTAAATTGTGCTTGGTTCTATTACAGCAACTGAAGGAGTCAGGTTAAAGCTTAAACAGTTACAGGTTTATTAAAAGACTTATAAAAGCATATGGTTACAATGGCTATTGCTCTATTTCTTAAATGCTAACAAATACAGATTTTAAAAATGGTTACAAAGAAAATAAAGATAGAAAATAGAAATAATGGTACCAAGTGACAGCTTAATCTTTAAAGAGCTCTAAGTCTATGTATATATATACTTAAACAAAGGACCACATCCAGGTACAATTTTTACCCCTTTCTGTGCCTCTCGACTCCAGCGTGTCAGGCCAGGGCCGGTCCCTCAATTCCTAGGAAAGACGAAAATACGAGGTGGGTCCCCTCTGGAACCTCGGGAGATCAAACACCAAACCCGACCAGCAGATAGATGGTAGATTGACACTCAGAGAAAATGCGCTGCTGGACCCATCTTTATAGCCCTGGGGGCCTGTATCCTCTTTCTTATCTAAGAGGCCAAATTCTACTGGTCCGTTTTGTGGCACCAGTTCTTACAAGCAAGTTTCAAGTTAATTTACACTTGCAAGAGAGATAACTAAATTGTGAATATTAGACATTTTTTTACTGGGCGAGAGATTCCTCCCCCCACGGACGGATGTGTGTTCGTATCAATATAGGTTAAGTCAAGGACACTCCTTGGCAGCCTCTTGGTCAGCAATTGGCGTATCTCTGTTACAGCCATTCACGGTCACAGCAGCCTGGGCCTTCTGCTCTGTGTGCCCTGTATGCTCCAGGCAAGCAAAAATGGATGTTACAAGGGGGGGTTCCTGTCTGGCTACACTGCTGCATCTTTAATAACATGATTAATAATAATAATTGGCCTAGTAATAGCACCTCAACTCCATCTTTTGTTCTTATTTTTCCTTTATTATTACTTCTTTCTGTTCTACTTCCATTGTATTGGCAACTCTATAGACATTTGTGTGTGTAATGGTCCATTCAGTACAAGGGACTGTACTAAACAAGCTAAACAAGAAATCATGTAAAAAACAGCCAAATGTATGGCATTTCAAACTTTATAGTGCAGCATGTTTACATTAGACTTTAAAGTAAAGTTTTCCTTTTTTTTTAACTGTTTCCATTCACCTTTTTAAAAAAGTCACCATACATCTGTCCGTTATTATTCATAGATTTTAGAACAAGAAAAAAAAAATAGATCATCTAATCTGACCTTCTGTATAATACAAGCCATAATATTTCACCTATATTGTCCTATCCTAAGCTGAATAATTTGTTTGACTAAACCACATTTTCTAGGAAAAATCTCAAACTTGATTTGGATACATCAAGGATGGGAGTTAATTCCAATTGATAATTATTTCACTGTTAAAAATTCAGTTCCTTATTTCTAATTAGAATGTATATGGTTTCAATTTCCATCCTTGGTTCTTATGATGTGCTTTTTCACTAGGTTAAAGAG